ATACATATAACAACTATGCCAAAATAAGATGTTCATATAGAGCATTTTGAGTAATGTAAACAAAAACAGTGGTCCCAACATATTTCCTGTTTTATTTTTAATTTCTATTGCTTCAGAAAATCAAAAAACGTGCCACATATTGATAAATAATGTTTTAAGATTAGGTTATGATTGAATTGCCCCCTGTTACAGTAATGAAATAGTTTGAAAACAAGCAGAAAATGTTCATCAGCCAATGACATGACCACACTGAAATGGTCAACTTAAGACAATTTTTCATAGTATTTTGTATATTAGATTTGTGTAATCTGAAAAAACAAATGACATTAAAATCAGTGGTGTTTTCAAGCCCACTTTTAAATTGCTTAATTTTTCAGTTATAAGAATGCATGTAGTATTTCCGCATGAGTGACTTGTTCAATTTAGAAATAAAGATAATTGCAAATGTACTTATTATGGATGTCCTCGCTTTAATTACTTTTCAGAAAATGGATGTAAGTTGGAACCACATTATTTCCGAGAAATGAACATACTGTTACATTATTAGACAAATCTGACAACATTAAAATAGTAAAAGCATTAATTATAAGACACAAATCAAAAGTTTTGCACTGTCAAAAACTGAAAACATTCAATGGATGGCTAGCATGATCATTCATTCATTCATTTGTTATATTCATTCATTTTCGGCTTAGTCCAGTATATGTTTAATGCTGCGGATGCCCTTCCAGCCGCAACTCATCATTGGGAAACACCTATACACTCTTGCATTCACACACATATGGCAAATTTAGTTTATTCAATGACATATACCACATGTCTTTGGACTGTGAGGAAAACCAGAGCACCCACACGAACAAGGGGAGAACATGCAAATTCCACACAGAAATGCCAACTGACCCAGCCGGGCTTGAATCAGTGACCTTCTTGCTGTGAGGCGATCATGTTACCCACTGAGCCACAATTATCACAAACAACAAAACATAAATATATGAGGTTAAAATTAACACAGATTAAAAAAAATATTTGTCATAATGCTGTAAAGACCCCAAAAATAGAATGAAGTATCAAATTTAGTTTATAATCCTTTTAGATAGTGTTATGCTATCATCTTTCTTGAACAAACGTATAAAATTTCCAAAGCACTAATTCCCAGAGGTCTCTTTGATCTGTTTTATTACAACACCATTGACATATTGTCTACTGAGAGCATTCGGGTGGTCTGCAAAACTACTTTACCGCCACCAGACTGGCGCCAACCTGAGACAGAAATATGGGGTTGTTCAGGTGCAAAGTTCCCTCGAACCTTATTGAATCAGCCAACGAGAATACCGACTGTGGCCAGTTTGATTCACAATTCAATTTCATCTTCAGCAGAAAAAAAAGAGAAGAAGCCCAGAATAGACTGAGGGGTTTCTTTAGGTGAGGCAGAACAAATAAAGAATTCAAGAGCGGGGAGATAAGGAACAGAAATCGACAAGACCGAGAGGAAGGAAAAGAAGCAGCGTGAGCTCATCTTGATTGAACACGGGCCTAATGGCCTGGACTCAATTGGATGAACAATCGGACAGATCTACCTTAATGTACACTGAGCCATCAATCTCTTTTTAACTAGATTAGAGCACCCTTTAGGGTTGGTCAGCAAGCAGGGGAAAGGACTGTTGCAGAACAAGCTGGACTTCCTGGCATCAGGCTGTAGGATCAGCTATTGCCTGAATACACCCCTCCCTGTTCTGAGACCCCTTTTCCTATTTCTAATCTACTCTGCGTATGCCATGTCTCAACTAATGAAATGGCATTAACTTGGACTAGAGCCTATCACTAAAACCAAGCACTCACATTGATTTCTATTGACTATGTTTGTCCAGCACTCAGAAGAATGCACATATGATGCCCGCGTTTCCAATAGCATTGCGCTGGATTTCTGATCTTTTACGAAAAGTACACCCAGGCATGTGGATTTTAAATTAAAGCATTGACTAAATAATACTTGAAATTACTGTAATTGCTTGCAAATCGTTAGATAAAGTTGTGTTTAAGCAGCACTAAATAATTCTGCTGGTGTTTACCAGGTGAGTAAATCAAGGTATCCGCCAGTTCATTTTTAAAAGCCAATGAATGATCGCTGTGATTAAACGGAAGCAACACATTGGAGACACTGTGTCTGAGGTGCTGGCAGACTCTGACTCAGTCCATAAAACAAGACCTATAAATTAAGATTCAATTTATTCTGGGTGGAATTTATTGCTTTGGTGATTTAGTGGAGCAAGCTCATTTAGGATGATCACATCAGAGGGCTTCTCAGTCTAATTAAATCTGAAGAAGGAGGGGGTTTTAGTGCAAAAGTGTAAGCTGTCACCACACACGCTGCGGTTTGGTAAAAGAAGTGGTGGGAGAATTAATCAAAGTGTCATGTTTAGTTTACAAAAAAGATCCTGCCGATAATTAGGCAATAAATTTGAAAAAACTCATACGAACAACATTAATGATCCACCCCCAATAATTATTCATTTGGATTCTATTTAAAACCTTATTCAGGGTAGGTGTCATATTTCATTTTTCAATAATAAAAAGGCCTGTAAGAGGGACACACGTTCACTTTACAATTTTTAAGATGATTGTGTCTACCGAACAAATAGTTGTTTTAATGTGCAAAACTTCTATTTTTACAAGTCTTTATATTTACAAATCAATATTGACTATTGAAATTACAAGATTGATTATTTAGTTTATTAGACATTTCAGTTGATGAGTGAATATCTCTTGCAATGACCACAAAAAGCTTTGATATATTAGTAACAAAGATATTCAAACAAATCTGACAGATCATCCTATGGGCATCTCAGTTCAATCTGCAGCAGAGCATGAGTGAACATGATTATACCTTCCTCTTTATCACTAGTTATAGCACAAAATAAACATGAGTGGAAATCCCATGCAATCACTCAATCAAAGTCATAGTCCTAAAAAAAGTCAATAAAACATCTTAACAATTAGTCACAGCATTACATTTACTTCGGGCAAGTTTACAGTTCAGTGTACACAGCTTGTTAACCTACAAGCGCTATATAGAAATCTGTCATGCAAAACAAAATTCTAAGTGAAATAAAAGCCACTGTGTAAATTCTTCCAAAAATGAACTAACATATATAGTTAGTTTTACAAATCGTGTGTGATTAACATGTCAGTTTAAAATTAGTTTATTTTATCTATAAATTTAATACTTAAAGCTTCTTATTGTAATTTGCAGCCTTAACATAATGATGTTCAAGCAACATTTACATATAAGAAACTCCCTAAAGTCTACAGCAATAGTTGACATAGTTTTTAACCTTGTGAAAATTGTAAATATAACATAATTTATTTTAAGAAAGAGACACTCTTTTCCAGTAAACTACTGTTGATGTGTTATGAACAGAAAAAAAAACTAAAATTTGCATAAAAAGACCCATACACAGTGCTTAGCATTTATAAGTACACCCCTTCCAAATCTATCTTATAAATCCATATTTTTAATAGGAAGCTTTACAATATTTTTTTTGTGCATATACTTTAGATTAGTCAGTACTGAAGCCAAACCTGGAGCATATCTAACAAAATAACTAATGATAACGGTCCAAAAACTAGTACACCAAAATTTATTTGTTATAGAAAAATAGTAAATACAAATTCAAAAAATGGGAAAAATCAGAAGCATTTTAATAAGATTTTATTATTGAAATCTTTTAGATTGTCTTTTTTTGCAATATTTTGATTGAATTTAATTGTATTATCTTTCAATTTCTTAATATGTTTGGTGACTACAATATTAATTTAATAAATATATATATGTTTAATAAATCAGATTTGTTTAAATGCACCAAAATTCATTGCCTATATTCACTGAGAAATGGATAATAATATTCATTTTCAAAATGGGGTGTACTCAATTATGCTGAGTACTGTATGAACAGAAGTGTTCAAACAGTGTGCCTCCATACTATTATAATACAAGCACAAAGAATTTCATTACGCAATATCATAAAGCACACATTTAAGCTTGGCACTGGATGAAACTGTAGATTTAGACAACTTTTGTCAAACAATGGTTCTAAATATCCATCTTTAGTTCTGTCTAGCAACTGAGACAGATAAATCATGAGCTAAAGTGTGTAGTGTAGCCTCCTCCTGTTTCAGACTACTTCACTTTGCTCTAGTCTTTTACCACTTTTACCGCCTGTTACAAATTATTTATTTTGGCTTTCACGTCCTATTTCAGAATTAGATTGTAGCCAGTTGGATCATTTATTTAAGTGCGTTAATTAATAAATAGCTTTTTCCTGCTGTTAATCAAATCCCATTCGGATGGCATCACACACACAAAAACGTCCAGTAATTTACCACGCAGGCTAAAATTAAAATTCTGCCACCTAAACAAAAGCTGTGGATGGCAAAGTGCCCCCCTCCCCCTCGGCTCTCTCCCTCATCGCCTCAGCGTCTGAGTCTGCAGAGTAACATCCAACTCGCCCCGAAAACACGCTCACTGTCTGCCGCCGTGACCCAACCAAACATAACCCTAAGAGTCCTCGTTAAATGCCTCTTTTTAGCTCAATCCGGAAGCGATCGTAAAATTGCGATTTCCTCGCTAATGTAAATGGCTACCACATTAATAACAGCGCGTTATCATTGCGCGCGTCTCTCACTGGACGCCTTCACGTCATGTGCTGCTGTAGAAGTACTGAAGAGGTGAATCCCCAGCAGTCTACAGTTTTTTGGGACCTACTTGAGCACCGTGTGTTCTCCGTGGCGATTTGAGTTGCAGTTACTTCATCTCATCATGCCTGGCAAGAAATGAATCCTGATTCAGCGCTCGACTCGCACAGAATCGCGCGCGGTGAGAACTTTGCTTTGCAACTCTTCTGTGGATTGGGCACGCGCCACGGCAGCGCGCGGAGGATCAACAACTTTCCTCAGAAACAGCGCTAGCGTCCGTCCTATGTCGCCTCTAATCCGTCCATGTCACCAAGTATTGTCGCTCTAGTTGGACGAGAATGTTTCAGAGACAATTTCTGCTTAAACTCGTGGAAAACATCGTTGGTAAGCCTTGAGAAGCGGATATTAAATGACTTTTGATGCGCCCCAGACTCGCGTCCTCGCCAGGTGGACTGTGAAGAGACAGAAGAGGAATGTTTATCCGAAAATTATTGCCGCTGAATTTGGGTTTTTTGACATTTTTGTTTAGTCACTGCTTTCTCTCATTGTTTCTGCCGTTATTGCAGGTAAGTTGGACTGAGCAGTTGGGTCAGAGATGGTAACATTAATTCGTAGTTTTGGTTCATTGGCGAACCGTCGCGAAAGTGCACGTGCATAACGGTCACTGTGTCGCCGAGATTGATAAGATTCAAGCATATATTTGATTATATGTATATCTAGTTGTGTTTTAGTAAATACAATCACTGTCCGATTCCATTAATTTAAAATCTGACAACTATTTAAGTGACATTTATGTATTATTTATATGCGTACTATTATTTTGACCCACTGTCAAAGATGTTTACGTTGTAACGTTAAGAATTACAATTAAGAAGTACAATCAATTTTTGAGTAAAAAGCACATGGACATATGTCAAATTTTGACACTACACACCTAATAATAGTATTTACTACTACTAGAGAATGCACTGCTGTTTATTTAAAGAACATCTCCTGCTCTCAGTTTCAGCACCAGTTAAAGGGATAGTTCACCCCAAAACGAAGATTTGCTGGCAGTTTACTCACCCTTTGGCCATCCATGATGCTGGTGACTTTTTTTCTTTAGTAGAACATTAAAGATTTTTTGCTGAATCCAAGGCAATTTCAACAGTTACTGGCGTTTTGGATGTAAAAAAAAACAACATACACATGCAAGACAAAATTCATACCAGTGTCTGCTTCAGGTACATTAAAGTCTTATGAAGCAAGTAGTGTGCTTATCTGTGCCTCCGCAAATAGTCATGAGACAACAGCTTGAAGCACAAGCATCCTTTAACATGTTGACATTATCAAATGTTTGCAAACTGTGAATTCAGTTTTCAAAAATGAGGTCACTTATGCAAAAGTGATCTTACTTTTTCTTTATGTTGCAGCGGCAAGTACCAATTTGCTAAGTGCAAAACACACATCTTCTTTCCTCATTGTAAACAGAGTCAGCTCTTATGTGAGTTTGTGCAAGAATGCGTCAGGATACTTGGTTGTGAACACACTCAGAACATAATAACACTAAGGTAATAATGTGTAACCCTTTACAAATGTCCATTTTTTTGCACACACTGATAGTTTTGCTTTATATGATGGTATTATTAGGAACTGCTTGCATTATTTTTATTTATGCATTTATTTTTATTCTCAGAGTGCCAGTAGTTGTTGATTTGCATTTTAGGAGTGACCAATCACCACGGTTTTAGCTAAATATTATACCAAATAAAAACAATCTACATGGTTTGACAGCAACTTAACAGCAAATGTTTATTTTATTTCCATTTATTCTTTAGACTTTACTACTGTCCCCTGTGGCAACATTGCTCACAAGACTAGCAAAAGTGTTCCCTGGCCTATCAGGGGGAGGCAGTGTCAGGGTTCACCCCTCGTTACTCCCACTTCTCTGGGGATCTGAGGCTCCAAGGTGTGGGTGGGTGCTCTCTTGGAGAGACCTCAGCCTCCACACACCCTTCATTCTCCACTTAAGTGGGAGGGAGCTCCCATTCGTGCGTGCAGAGAGAGAAAGAAAGAGTGCTTGTGTTGTAATGCTCTCTTCATTGTAAATTCTAAGGGCTATTGTGAAAAAAATCACATTTTACTATGGCGTTGCTGTTCTACACGCAGAATTGGTGATGAATTTGAGAAAAAAACACTAATGTATGTCATGCTCTTTTCTTTACCCTAGTTTGCAAGAGGGGAGCTCCAGAAATCATGCTCCCGAACCACAGTGGCACCGCTGGAAGGGAGCTGCCAGCTGCCATGCCAGTGTAGGCCATACCCACCGTTACCACCTCCACCCCCTCCTCCACCGCCCCCGAGGCTCTTGGCTCCAACTGGTGAGTAGTACTACCCTCTAATGTCACTGCAGTCCTTATTCATGGTTTTCAGTCACATGAGTCCTGGAGCACTAAGCATCCTGCTTAGGTCTGCCAGCTGTCCATCTGTTTCAAGTCACGAGTAGTAGATCTAATCTTGAAAAAAAGAGATGATGATGATGATGATGATAAAAGTGAATGATGTGATGAAAATGATAATATGTGAACAAAGTTAGTGTAGGGCACTTGCTATCCATATGCAGTAACTGCTGCTCTATTTCAATCATTAAAAATAGCAGGGGTTGAATAACATGGATACATGTAATAAAGTTTGATTAGATTTACAACTGCTCAGGCAAAATAGTGTCCTTTTAAAAAAAGAATCTTTGATGTAGAGTTTTTTTTGTTTTAACAAGGGTGAGAAAGATCCCTACAAAGATTTTGCTTATGTTAAGGTTGCATATTTGGAGCTTATGATCGTATATGTCAATAGTGCTTAACATATTACTTTTCTATTGACAATTTCATTACATTTTTATTCTAATTTTATGTAACTGCAACTTATAGATGGCAAAATTTAAATGTTAAATTATGTATGCAACTGATTGCACACTATGTAAACTAAAGCAGAATGTGAATGAAATGCTTTGAATAGCATGTTAAATGCTCTACTAATTTCCATTAGGTAAAACCTATTTGTGTTGCATTTATATATTTGCTTGTCTGCATATAGTGCAGTTTAGGTGTTGCATTAGTTTTAGTTGTATCTGTTTAAAACAGAACCGGAAAGAGCTTTAGTGTCAGGTGTTTTGTGACAGAGCTTCTACAGTGAAACAGAATGACAGAGACAGGACAAAAACAGATAATAAATATATTTTAAAAATAGTAGTAGTGAATGCAAGAATACAAATTGACAAGTGAATGTACAGGTATATTACTATATGCAACATTATATGTGCAGCTGTTACGTGCAAATTGGCATGTAAAGTATGGTGTTAAATAAGTGTGTATGTGTATAGCAAGTAGTGATGTTTGTTTCATAATTATTATCATCAAGTGTTCGTGAGATGGATTGTCTGAGGGAAGAAGCTGTTTCTGTGTTCCGGGCTGTTCTGGTGCACAGTGCTCTGTAGCGTCGACCAGAAGGTAACAGTTCATAGAGGCAGTTTGCTGGGGGTGAGGGGTCCAGAGTGATTTTGGCTGCCCTTCTGCTCGCTCTGGATAAGTAAAGTTCTTGAAGAGTTGGCAGGGTTGTACCAGTGATTAGCTCAGCAGTCCGACCTATTCGATGCAGTCTTCGAAGGTCAGATTTGGTAGTTTGCCCGTGTATGTTATCACCATCTTTAATACATTAGTAATTGGCAGGCCTCATTCCTGTATGATGTCACGTATGCATCAACTATGCATTTGGTCCATAATACTGAGAAATTTTGACTTAATGTTTAAAATGGATTAACTATTTGTACGCTCCAAAGAATTTCTCTGCATCACCTCCATGTGGAGATGTTCATGTATCTATTTGTTCATCACACATGAATCTTGCAATCTAGGATTTCCTCTAACTAGAGTGAAATTTATCTCACTGTCATGTTGTCAGAATCTGCAAGTGAGTTCAATCCCCAAAATGAATGAATTGGCTTTGGCTGCACGCTTTTCCAGAAAGACAGGCGAGTTCATTTAATCAGATTTTGTTGCTGTCGTTTTGAGGGTAGCTTATAAGCAGTTTAATAGATTGCCCTTCTTGCTGAAACAGTTTTCATTTCCGTTTTGAGAAATGGACATGGCCGGATGGTATGTTGCTGTTCACGATTGACACAAAGCTCAATCCGCTTCATTACAGGAGGTGGAAATTTTAGATTTGTCATCAGGGGTCCCTGTCAGGCGCTCGGGAAAGCCAGATCAATGAGACCTCAGCATTGAAAGGGTTGTGAAATCAATCTGCCTCTAGAGTTTTAGCCTTCTGCTTTAAGCCAGAGTAATGCACTCTCACAACAACATGCTCTGGGGGAATCGCATTCATAAGAATTTATGACAAGTACATTAGTATGCTTCGCATCAGTATGTACCTCATGCATAAAGTACATGCTTGCTGTATCTTTGCATATGAAGAAAACAAAATCGATACATACCAAGAACAGCCTAAGAGACTTTAATATTATGTTTTCAGTCTGTGACATGAAATGTTTCAGGGGGAAATGCAACATGGCTTTAAACAAGCGTGTGAACGCTGAGGATTTAACTGTAAAAGGCAGTTTTGATAAGCAACCAATTGAAGGCTGGTGACAGGCTTTGCCTTTAGGGGTGAAATGGCTTTAACATTAGCTTATTAAAATTATTCATGAGGAAGTTGCGTTTAATGAGGACTCCCACACCTGTTGTCATTGAAGCAGCGATAAAAGGTTTAAACTGAGGGATGTATTAGTTGTGGAAAATAAAAGGCGGTTTCTGAAGGCCTGATTGCAAAAAAGTGCTACCGCCCTAAACCTAACACTAGGATTAGAACATAGGTTTGACTTTGGCTGAATATTGCAATCATCCTGCTGTATAACGAGGTTGTTGAAGTAGAATTTGACATTCTGACATTTAAAAGGTTTATATCAGAATGATGTTAAAATGTTATAGCAACAAGATGTTTCTTTCATCCAATAATTGTCCCCAGTTGATACACTGTGCACGCTACACTGTGAATATCTTGTTGAATTTTCCTCATGCGGGTAGATGTGTAGTAGTAGACATTTAGGACAGAAGGATCCCAGAATATTATAAAAGTGTACACATTTTTATCTCAAGATTAAAGATGAATCTATTTTTAGCAGAACTACTTAGGATGTAGATGAGGGGAAGTAGATTAGATGGAATTGCTCCTGGGCTCTTGGGAAAGAACATACTCTTTTAAGCCCAAAAAAGGACATGCGTGGCAGTCAGAAACACATGGCAAACTCTGCTAACCTCACAGAGGTGCTGAGAGACACTAGAATTGTCAGTGAGCTGTATCATAGTAACCTAAAAGCCCTGAAATGTTGCATTTTGATTGAGCTTCTCATTTTTTTATACTATTTGCTGCCAACCCATGTCAATCAAAATTGTTTGCAGTAGTAGAATTGGTTGGTTTGAAAGAAAATATAGTAAAATAAATACACTACCTGACAAAAGTCTTGTCTTCAATCCCAGTTGTCAGAGCAACAAACAATAACTTGAAGTCTATTTGATCATTTGGAAAAGTAGCAGAGGGTAGATTTTTCCAGTGAATTATCTGTTGAACTGCGTCCCAATCCTCATAAATACTGCAGAAGACCTATTGGAACCTACATGGACCCAAGAATCTTAGAAATCAGTCAAGTTTGTTGAAGGAAAAATCATGGTTAGTAGTTACATTCAGTATGAAGGCCTGCGAGAGATCTGCAGAGTAGATGGCAACATCAACAGCCTGAGGTATCAAGACATTTGTGCTGCCCATTACATTACAAACCACAAGAGAGGGCAAAATCTTCTGCAGGATAGCACTCCTTCTCATACTTCATCCTTCCCATCAAAGTTCCTGAAAGCAAAGATGGTCAAGGTGCTCCAGGATTGGCCAGTCCAGTCACCAGACATAAACATTATTGAGCATGTCAGGGGTAAGATGAAGAAGGAGGCATTGAAGATGAAAATGAATAGAGGCAGTCCTCCAAGCTCATGGGAATCATACACAATACTAATTCTTTTACCACTGCACCATGAATTTATATTCTGTACTGTACATTATTTCTGTCAAGTGACAAGACATTTGTATAAGCAAAGTCAGACCTTACTGTCCTAATAAAGTAATTAAAAATCAATGCATGATCATATTTTGTTTTGGTAAAATAAGAGTAATCTAGAGGCCTTTGCCTTTAATATAAGCCACTTCTGATACCAAAGGATCAACTAGAAGTCAAGTTGTGATTTGTTATTCCTAAAACTTAAGTAGGTAACAAGACATAAGAAGATTGTCAGGTAGTGTGTGTGTGTGCGTGTGTAAATAAATAAATATTGTGTGTATATATATGTATGTGTGTGTGTGGTGTGTGTGTGTGGTTTGTGTGTGTATATAGTTTTCAAAGCAAATAAAAATAATAATACAAATTAATTATCATAAGTTTGTTTGTGCTTTTCTTAGCTTTGTCTTTTTTCCAAAGAAGGATCATACACATTTTTTTTCTAGCCTAAGATGAGATATTTGCACATTTACAATGCCCCCTGCTGATGGAAAAGATATGGAATGCAGCTTTGCATCAGACACAAAGAACATTCATTATTTACAGTTCCTACACAAACTTGTAAATGCTCATTAAAAGTGAGTGAGTGTGTGTGAGAGTGAGCAGCAAACTGATAACAAATTTGCAAAATTATCAAATTGCTTTCCAACATATTTAATTTTGTGTGTTTTACTTGTCATTTAAACACGTACGAGTTTGCTAAAGTGCAGATTACACCACGGATAGGAGAGTGCACAATCTGACATTCTTGCAGTCTCCACTCAATTCACTATCATTTTACAAGTGCGTTAAATTATAATAAAAAGATGACAGTAATCAAAGAAGATGACAACATGTCATGTGTGACGTTGCAGACCAGAAAATTGGCTTCTGTGGGCTGCCACATTTCTCATTTTAATGAGGTTGAAGCTTCCTCAGTAGGGCTTGGACTAACGATTATTATGATAAAAACTAAATATTTTACATTTGCTGTTTTGCTCATTTTTACTGTATAAAACTATATACCAGGGTATTATTTATGTATAAATATTTATTAGAAAAAAAAGCAAATGCCACAGTTTAATGATCTTTAATTTTGACATTTTAAATCTTTTGAAGTTTGTCATATAACAAGGCAAGGCAAGGCAAGTTTATTTATATAGCACATTTCATACACAGGGGCAATTCAAAGTGCTTTACATAAACAAGAATAAAAGAAACAAGTAAAAAAATAAATAAAAACAAATAATAAAAATGATTAAAAAAACATAAAAATAGGTCAAATGTGATATAAAAGAATGAAGA